ACCAAGTCTAGGCGCGAGGGTATCGTCAGCGGCCACTGTGGGCGCGTAGTGGGGGTCGCCAACCCCTATACTGAGGCCCAGTATAGGGTCCCCGACACTGTTTGTGTGTGCGGGGTCCGTGACCCGCACTAGTGACCCTAGTGACGGGGACGGATGTCGGCTGACCCCTTCCCGATCCCCGAAACGACGCAACGTTGAAGCGGAGGACCGGGATTGATCTTGGCCGCTGTGGGCCTCGGCGCGCGATGGCGCTTGGCGTGCAATAGGCGTGGCGTGTTGCGAGCACGTGCCTGAAATTGCAGCGTCGGCGGGTGCGTCGTTGCGAAGTTGTTGCAACGCGCGTGGCGCCACTCGGGCGCCCTCCGCCGACGAAAACGGGGGCAAAAGGGGTGTGAAAATCACACTTTGCCTTTCTGACCAATCAGTGCCGAGCACTTGGTCAGACCCGGATTCGACAGTCGAGGGGTCGTGGACAGCCGTTTCGGCGCCCATCCCTGAGGAAACTGCTGTTTCCGGGTCGCCCGCCAGCCCCGTCTCAGCGTCAGACGACGCGTCATAGAAGGACGCGTCGCTGGCGAGACTAGAATGGCTGGCCGTGGAGCACTCGCTATCGTCGGATAGAGAGCGCTCCCGGGGCTCCCAATCCGGCCACCAGAAGCGCATGCAGATGCGAAGGTGTAAAGCCGGTTAGGGAGCAGAAAGGCCGATGACAAAGTCGATCGAACACTAGTAGAAAAGAAAAAGTGTATTAATTATGTGTATCGTTGGCCTCACGGGGGATGGGTGAACGCCCCCGGAGACCTGCGCAGTCGCCCGCGCGTGTCCAAAAATGAATGTGAAAAAGTCCGCCAAAAGGCGAAAACCAGTCTTCACACTGATTAGAACAGAGAAGTGTATGTATTACCATCCGGTTAGTCTATTTCTAAAGGGTATAGAAATACCCGATAGAAACTATGTGGTGTGTAAGTTGGGTACAGGTTGAACCACATAGAGCTAGACTATAACGCACCGGTTGGGTTTGAAGGGCGGTGTCCTACCTGGATAGTGCCCTGTCGGTCAAAAGACCAGCTTGTCACCGTGCACTTGACGGCTGGGAGGTCTGCGGGGCCCCCCCGGACCCACGCGTCCTCCGTGTCGCCGCTCCACTTTGTTGACGATCCCTGTGTTGGCTGCAGTGCCAGTTCCAGATCCGAAAGCTTGAGCGGACACAGTGGCTGGAAAGTTGTATATCCAGCTGTCGGGCATCGCGCTTGAGTAGATGGAGCCTCTCGGTAAATGTCTTGAAGTTACTGGAAACCACCGAGCCGAGCGACCCATAGACAATCGCAGTAGAAACCACACTCCATCCCTTCAATCGAAGCTCATCAACAATAGGCTGGTACTTGAGCACCTTGAAGTCATGACTGCTCTGGAGGGATGAGCGCCGAGATCCAGCCGGTTGGTCTTCAAACGAGATCGCCAGGTCTGAGATCACCATTGTCTTGGATGCGGGGTCTCGAAGTACAATATCCGGGCGAAGTGCTGCACCAGAAAATTCGGGAACCGTCAAGTTGAGGCGCAATTCCGCTGGAGACTTGATGCGTAGAAGAGCAGCTCGAATCTTGGTTCCAATGAGTTCCAGGCCCTCATCATGGCGTCGTCGAACGGCATCCATGTTCGTCGAGCAGTGGTTCAGAACATGGGCCAAAGTCTCAGCACTGGAACAGGAAGGCACACGGCAGTGGTGGTTTGCCCGAAGGCGTCTTCTCTTGAGAACCGAATTAGTATCGACTTGGTTGAGGCGGGCCAGAATGCCAAATCGATGTTCCGCATCCGATAGACCCGCCCCAGTCATCACAAACTTCGATCCAACTCCACCGTGGACACGGACCGTCTTTCCCTGATCCACCATATTCTTCCATCGAGTCTGATGGCGGATCTTCATGTGCAACTTCACGTGCCGCAACACTGTTTTGTGACTGAGCCATTTATCCATGTGCGGCACTCGAAGGGCAAGGGGGTCTTGAGTGCCATCTTCTGAACGAAAGGAAAGAGTGATGTTATTAATCGTTAATATCCGCTGTACATCAGTCCAGAGCGAGGCAATGTCCCCCGATCGGCGATTGGCGGTAGCAAACGGCGAGGCAGCAAGTTCGGAATTCAAAAAGAGTCGAACAAGTTCATCCTCTCGCCCCTGCCAGTGGTCTTCGTGTAGTCGATAACGTTTGCGTGCAATCTGACCCACTTGCGTCTTCGCCACCGCCACAATAGCCGGGTCCTTCGAGTGAAGCATTTGCCAGGCATGAGCAACCTGCAACGCGTGGTGCATTTCCACCAGCGACTGCAACCCCAGTCCGCCTCCCGAAGTTGGCGAGTAGAAAAAGTCAGCTGTGGCGGACTGGGGAAGGTGCAACAAGTGTCGAAGGCCACGCTTCACGGCGCAATCGAATCCGTGGAGTTGTGACTGTAGGGGGCGAAGGTGGCGAAGAGCATATTCCACTTTCGGGTAGACATAAGTCTTGAGCGCCTTCACCACCTGCCAAGCTGCCAACCCGGACGTCATCAAAGCAATCGCCTCCCGCTTAAGTTGTTGCAACTTGGGTTCAAGCTGGAGGCGATGCTGGATGTGGTCAAACCCATCACCCACTCCGAGGTAGCGATAACTCTCCTGGAGTGTGAGCGGGGTGATGGTTTCACCATGAAGGTCCAGCCGGACACTCTCATCAGGGACCGGGTTGCTTCGAGAATTAAGGGTCACAGCAAGGCTGGCGCACTTGGCCGGATTAGCCCTTAAACCAGTCCATTGGAGAAAACTCTTCATAACACCATGGCAACGTTGGATGCCGGCGGCGCTATTGCTGAAGATTTTTATATCATCAGCGTAAGCGGTGGTGCAAGGTCTAACACCATCCGCAAGCGGCACACCGACATCCTCCAGTTGCTCCAGGCGACGGACGAGTGGAATTAGAGCAGCAATAAACAGTAGGGGACTTAAGGGACAGCCTTGGTAAACCCCCATTTCTTGTCGCACAGGGTCAGTCGCACCATCCTTCGCATTCGTAACCACAAAAGATGACTCATGATAGATATCCTGGCAACGGTTAATGAACCGGGGCTCAACACCAATTCGGCGGAGCACCTGCCACATGAGCGCTTGAGGAAGAGAACCAAAAGCATTGCGTAAGTCATACCAAACTTGGTATAACTTACGGTGCGACCGCCGGGTTTGATCCAACATCGTGGTTGCCAGAAAATTGTGTTCATGGCAGCCGTTGAAAGCCCGGAACCCCTTCTGTGCCATCGGTAGCCTGTTGTTGAGTTCAAGCCAGCGCGACAACCGCTTCGCAAGCAGCCCGCTATACAACTTGTAGATGGTAGGCTGCAAGCAAATAGGTCTCCAGTTAGTCGGCTGCATGGGGTCACCTTTTTTGTGGATGAGGCGGACCATGCCCACTTTCCAGAGGGCAGGTACCATCCGATGCAGCCAACAGAACTGGAAGGCAGCGTGTAGAAGGGGTACCAATTGCGGGGCAAACCGACTGAAAACATCATATCCGACCCCATCATGGCCAGGGCTGGACGTCTTGGTTGCCCGCAACAGTTGATCTTCCACTTCATCCAGCGTTATATCCACATCAAAGCAATCTCCACCCACAGTATCCCTTGAAAAACTCGTCAGAGTAGCTCGAAACTCCTGTCCACATTCCGCATCAAAGTTGAAGCGGGTAGGAGGTGTGTTAACGCCAACGAAGTGCTGGTGGAGATCCTGTCGAGAGATCGGACAGGTATCAGGGTGTTCGATACCCGCCGTCTCCACCGAGGCACCGTCGAGAATGTTGGCAACACATCGAGCTTCGTCTTTACCAAATGCTCGACGAAGGTCTAGCTGCTGCATAGAGGCACGCACCCTTCCAACCCGTCTTCGAGCTCGACGGACCGCACGTTGATCGGCAGGAGTTGTGGACTGAACTGCCTGCATGTCATCGAGGGCCTCATCCAATCGGTGCTCACGTTGAGTACGGGTGACACGAGGAGGTCGACGCTCACGACGAGACGGCGCCGAGCCTCCAGGGTGCGCAGCAGCAGCTGTCGAGCAAAAAGGTAACAGAATATCACGAATTGTATTAGGGATAGCACTAATGTACCCTTCGCCAGTGATCCAGCTGTCAGCATCTGTAATCCGACTCGCCATGCTATCAGCGAAAGATTGAAGAGCCGTAGCAGCAGCTTCATGTTCATCATCAGTTAAGTGACGCAGCTTGAGACGGGGTTGACGAGCTGGAGCGGAGCCGGGGCCGATAGGCAGGGTGGGAAAAGACTCACCACCATCACGTGCAGCGATATCAGCTTCGACATCGGCCTCAGAGTCACTGATAGGGGCAGCACCAGCAGAGGTAGTAGGTGCACTGTGGGCAACCATGGCGGGGTTGGTGTCAACCGACGAGCGGGGCTCAAAGCAGCACGACATGTCATATGAATGTGGGCCACAAACAACAGAAGTCTTGCGCTGATCCAGGGCACGGTTAGCAAGCCGGTCAGCGTGGGCATTAGCTTGACGGTCAATGTGACGTAGTTTATACCACTGTAGGTCTGCTAACGCCAGCCGCACGAGACTGCGTAGGCTGCGGAGCCTTCGATTCGAGCAGTTGAAAGAGCCTCGCACTTGTGCCATCACCAAGGTGCTATCGCCTTCCACCATCAGTCTCGTAGCACCATGGAGGACAGCACTCTTCACTCCCATCAACAGAGCCGCGTATTCGGCAGAGTTGTTGGTCTCCCTGGGTGAAGGAAGGAAGTGAGAGCCTGTCCAAACCACAGTGCCAGCTGAATCCGACAGCACTGCACCCGCTCCACCAGCACCAGGGTTCCTCCGGCAAGCCCCATCAAACTGAAGGAGCCAGGACTTGGTGTCACCGGAAACCTGCACGTCCTCCACAACCGGGGATGATGGGACGTCACGTGGTCGCGGTGGAGTAGGTGGTGGTGCTGGCGGAGGTATAGCGCTGTCAGCGACGGTGGTATCAGGACTTGAGGATGGCCGTCTGTTTCGAGTCCTTCGCCCAGTAGTGGGAAGCGTCACTACCACCCGAGGGCCCCAACGAGTCATGGTTCGTCGAGGCGCTGCCGTTGGAGTGGCCCGGGTGGTAGGAGCAGGACAAGCTGTGGCACCAGTGGCAGGGCAACCTGCCTCAGAGGCCCCGATCGTGCCGTGACGTGGCCCCCACCGCGTGGCACGAGTGCGCACAGCGGCTGATGCCAGAGGTCGTTGCACTGCCGGGGTCGAGGTCGGCGCATCATCTGTCACCGGGCAACCAGAAACGGCAACATCCACGGTGGGTGAAGCAACATCCGTATCCAAAGACGAGCGAAAAGAATCCAAACGAGAAGTAATCCCAGTGTCCAGCGTCATCAAATTAGCTTGAACCGTCCTCTCCACCTGTTGGTCGTGTGTCTCCATGTCCCAATCCGGGTCGCCAGGTATGGGATCATCGTCGTTAAGCCTTCGACGTTTGCCAGCGACCCGGATATGAGCCTGTGAGGCAGAAATGTACCGCACGGGGGGGACGTGCGGGTGCACCGGAAGTCTTGACGTGGTGTGCACGGTGCTCTGAAAAGTGGTGATGTCTGCGGTAGCAGTGTGGCTTGATGCGACGCCTGCTGCCGCAGACATCACGGCACTGAGGGGTCCGGTAGGGGATGGGTCCCCCTCTGCGTGCGAGACAGACCACACGGAACGAGAGAGAGCGGTCGACGACCCGGTCGGGACACGTGCAACAGGAGGTGCGTAAGACAGGCTGTCATTACAGCCCAGAGCATGTTTGGTCGCTGCTGCACGTGTCCTGTGACCGATGCCACACGTGCACCCGCTGTGGAAATGATCCACGAAGCAGGTGCCACGGTGGGCGGTTCGTCGGTGACTGGCCAGCGCAGTCATATCGCATGCAGTGTACGCACACAACGTGCATCGAAATGCGGGAGCGTTGTGGGCGTACACTGACACCACAGGGTCCTGCTGCCCGGTTACAGGCGGGGTTGGGTGCAAGGCAGGACCCTGGGCGCTCAAGGCGACGCGCTGGCTATCGTCAGGTGCCATGCCCACGTCAACGGCAATGGGCATGGCATCATCGACACCAGAAAAACGTTCATCGTACCCGACTCGGTCTGGCAGCATGTCCGCCTGCCAGCCGAGTCGGTCGTCACAGGTACGTGGGACAGAAACAGTTGCTGCAGTGGACACGGTCACGAGAGGTGCCGCGGCCACTGCAGTGTATCCAGCTCGAGCAGGCAGCTCCGTAGCTGCATGCCCGAGCTGGTCGTCATCACTGCAGGGCATGTATGCGTCTTCGTCGTCCAACGAAGAGGAGTAGTCTGCTGCCGAGTCCTCCCCGTCGCTGCTGCTGTCGTCCTCGGGGTCGCTGGAGCCATGCACGGCATCCAGTGCGCGAGCCGTAGCGGCTGCAAGCGCTGACCCGTTGGGCAGCATGCCTCCCGCCCTGCCGGGTCGAAAATCAACAATCGGGGGTCTTGGGGGCAAGGCGGGGGCCGGGGAGGCAGGCGGAGGGGCGCAGGAAGCCGTCGCACATGTCCTTGGACCCGGGCATGACGTCTGTGTGCCCGGGGAGCCGTTGCTCTGAGTGTCTTGCACGTCCACCCGGTCGGGCAGCATGCGTGCCGCCCTGCCGGGTGGGGGAGCAACATTCGCGGGGTCTTGGGCAGCGGCGGGGGCTTGGTGGCCGAGCGGGAGGGCGGGGGGAGCCGTCGCACACGCGTCTGGACCCGGGAGCTGCCTGTGAGCACCCGGGGAGCCGTTGCTCCGCAGAAGTCCATGCTGGACCCGGTCGGGCAGCATGCTTGCCGCCCTGCCGGGTCCAACAGCATCAGTCGCAGTGTCTTGGGCCGCTCCCACGTCTGGGAGGGCGCTCCGCAACGTGTCGTCGTCCTTGGTGCACGTCTTGGTACCCGGGCGCCGCATGCTTGCGCCCGGGGAGCCGTCGCTCTGCAGTCCTTGTCCTTGTCCGTGGCGATACCCGGTCGGGCAGCGTAACGCCCGCCCTGCCGGGTATGCCAACAATCGCACGCGAGTCCTGCGAGGCCATGGCAGCGGCGGGAGCGTCCAGGCAGGCGGGGGAAGCCGAACGGCGCGCGGAGGAGGCGGCGGGCGGTGTGCTTGAGGCCCCGAACGGGCCGACGCACGCTGCGCCATCTTGAGCCGAGGCCGTCGTCGCGTGTTGTTGCGCGTTGTGGGAAGCCACGGCGACCCCTATACTTAAGCCAAGTATAGGCCCGAAGGTACCTTCACCGGTACCAACGGGGTGTCGCCGGGCCTCTCCCCGGTCTTCAACGGTACCCAATGTCGGGACCGGAGACCGGGCTGCCGCGCGCGCGCCAGAGACGTCGCTGCGCGCAGGCAGTTGCAGGGCCAGGGGCGAGGCGTGTTCCGAACACGTGCCCGAAGTGGCGGCGTCCAAGTCCGCGTCACCGCCGCGGGGCGGTGTCGCGCGTGGCGGCGTTCGCGGCCCATTTTCGCCGTCATTTCGGTCGAAAACGGGGGCGCCAAAAATCCCTTGATGCGCCTGTCCCATGTCGGCTCGTCCCATCCCGTATGGTCCCACTTCAAGTGGTATAGGGACGGCGGAACGTTCCGGGAACAGGCGCATCTGATTTGCAGCCGTCCTATCCCCGATGACGAGTTGCGTGTCATCGAGGATGGAGGACGGCGATTGGTCGAAATCCACCCCAGTCTCCGCGTCAGACGACGCGTCGTAGAACGACCCGTCGCTGGCGAGACTGGAGTGGTCGTCCGTCGAGCACTCGCTGTCGCTGGACGGCGAGCGCTCGGAGTGCCAGTCCGGCCACCAGAAGCGCATAGAAATGCGGAGGTGTAGAGCCGGGGCAGGACAAGAAAGACCAAACAACAAACGAACAATGTATTGATCGATGTTAAGGGTAGAAAAGACCAAGGTGCACGGTGTCGGCCTCACGGGGGATAGGTGAACGCCCCCGGAGACCTGCGCAGTCGCCCGCGCGTGTCCAAAAATGAATGTGAAAAAGTCCGCCAAAAGGCGAAAACCAGTCTTCACACTGATTAGAACAGAGAAGTGTATGTATTACCATCCGGTTAGTCTATTTCTAAAGGGTATAGAAATACCCGATAGAAACTATGTGGTGTGTAGGTTGTGTACAGGTTGCACCACACAGAGCTAAACTATAACGTACCGGTTGGGTTTGGAGGGCGGTTCCCTACGTGGGTATGGCCCTTTCGGCCACGATGGGCCCGAACAACCGCTTAGCGGCGGCCTTGATGTGATGGAGTCCCCCCGGTCTCCATCACTCGGCTGCCCCTTGCATCTTGTCTGCGTCGGCCTTGACCTGTCCGGCGAGCACGACCTTGACCTTGACCGTCACGGGAACTATGACCATGAGCTTGACCTTGAGCTTGACCTTGTTGCCTCGCGCGGTGCTGGCTGCAGTGCAAATTCCATATGCGGCGGCTGGACTTGATGCACTCAGCAGAAAGTTGCTTGTCCAGCCGCTTCGCATCGCCCTTTAGCACACCAAGTTGCTCGGTGTAAACCGCAAGGTTACCACCGGCGACTGCACCAAGCGAACCATAGACGAGCGCGGAAAGGTGAACCGTCCAACCTTTACGCTCTAGGTGTCGCTTGACGCAGTCATACTTGGTGCGCTTGAGCGCCGCAATCCGCGCGAGCGAGGACGTCCTTGGGTCGTCGGTCGCTTGGTCTTCGAATGCCACTGCCAGGTCCACAACCGACACCGTGCGCGTGGTGTGGTTATAGACCTGCAAGTCTGGCCGCAGTGCAGGTCCGGGGAGCGAGGGTACAGTTTGGTTAACCCTCAGCTCGACCCGGTCCTTCTTGTCGCGCGCCGCCGACGCAATCGCCCGCTCGATGATCTTCAGCGCATCGTCGTGGCGGGCGCGGACGCCGTCCATTGTTCCCGCGCAATGGTTAAGCACGTGCGCCAGCGTCTCCGGGCGAGAACAACCAGCAAACCGGCACTTGTCGTGCGCCCGGAGACGCCTGCGCTTCAAGACACTGTGAGTGTCGAGCTGGTTGAGCCGACCACCAACCGCGAAGCGGTAGTCGCTCTCCCAGAGCCCGCGGGGCCGCGAGAGGAAGGCGCTTCCAGCACCACCAAGGGTGCGAGCAGCCTTCCCTTGATCCTTCATCGCGGCCCATCGCTCCCAGTGCTTGTTCTTGAGGTGCAGCTTCACGTGCCGAAGGACATCTCGATGGTCCAACCACTTGGTGTGGTGCGGCACGCGAAGCTGCAACCTCTTCGCCGGGGTACCCGTCTCCTCCACCGCAGGCGACACCTCGAACTTCAGGCCAAAGCGGTGGAGATGACCCCGGACGTCGAACCACAGCGACCCAATGTCACCGTTGCGCCGCTTGGGCGTCGCTGTGGCCGACGTCCCCAGCTTGCAGTTGAGGAGGAGCTCGCACAGCTCCTCCTCACGGTCCCGCCACGCTTGCACGTCCAGCTTGTAGCGTGCATCAGCTACCTGACGGAGTTGCTGGCGCGCAATGCGCTGGATGGCAGGGTCAGGGGAGTGCAGCATCTGCCACCCATGCGCGACTTGCAGCGCGCCATGCAGCTCCGTCAGAGGCAGGAACCCAAGGCCCCCTCGCGACACAGGTGCGTAGAAGAACGCAGTGGTCGACGAGGTTGGCAGCCGCAGCAAGTGGCGAAGGCCGCGAACAAGGTGGCGGTCGAAGCCCTCCAGCTGCTGAGCGAACGGTCTCAGGTGCCGGAGGGCGTACTCGACCCGCGGGTACAAGTACACCTTCACCGCCTTCACCACCTGCCACGGCTCCAACCCAGACTGCAGCAGAGCAGTAGCATCATGCTTAAGCTCCGTTAACGCCGGAGCAAGCTCCACCCGGCGACGGACATGGTCGAATCCGTCCCCAATCCCCAAGTACCGATAGGATTCAGCAGCACTTAACGCAGGGATCGGGGTACCATCCAGATGCAGCCCAATGTCCTGGGTCTGATGCAAGCCTCGGATGTCACGCTGGACCGACATGGTGCTACACTTCAATGGGTTGGCACGCATGCCAGTCCAGCGCAAAAATTCCTGGACCAGCGAGTGTTGGCGCCGGATGCCATCCACGGTGCTGCTGAATGTCTTCAAGTCGTCTGCGTAGGCAGCAGCACCGGGGCAATCCACGCTCGACATCTTCACTCCAGTGTCCGGCAGTCGTTCCAGCGCAAGCAGCAAGGGAGCAATTGCAGCAGTGAACAGGTGGGGGCTAAGAGGGCAACCTTGAAAAACCCCCACCTGTAGCGCAATCGGTGCCGTGGTCCCGTCGATAGCATTCCCAATGGTGAAGGAAGCATCGGAATAAAGACCACGGCAACAGGCAATGAACTCGGGTGGAACACCCTGCCTCTCCAAGGCAGACCAGAGCAAGTCGTGTGGTACGCTGCCAAAAGCGTTAGCGAAGTCGTACCACACGACGTGCAGTTCTTGGCGCTTGCGACGGGCTTGATCGACCATCATGGCTGCGAGGAAATTGTGTTCCCCACAGCCGTTCATGGGACGGAAGCCCTTCTGTGCAGCAGCGTTCCGTCCATTAGCCTCCATCCATAGGGTAAATCGTCGGGATAGTACACCAGCGTACAGTTTGTAGATGGCCTGCTGTA